GCCAAGATGTGTGCGTACGGTAGAGGCTTTTTCTGACATCTCCTATGCGTCAACGAAGGGGTACAAATCTCTTCAAGGCCAAGTCTACTACTATGCTGGTGCACCGGTGATGTGGAACACTAGCAGGCAACCATTTCCAACTCAATCAACTGCCGAAAGTGAGCTGGTCAGCCTTTGTGAGGCACTGGTTGGTGGCAGAGCTACAGCAGCTTTGATCGCAGCCATTCGAGATGAACCTCCTGAGAAGTTGGTCAAGCGACTTTGGGGAGACAATGCTGCGGCCATTAGCTTAGCCACAGGTGAAGGCCAAGGGAGTTGGAGAACGAGGCATTTGCGCATCAGAGCGGCGATTTTGAGATCTGCGCTGCGCCACAATGAGTGGGACTTGGGACATCTCCTGGGTCGTGAGCTGGTGGCGGACTCCTTCACCAAGATTGTCACTGGCCCTGCGTTTGAGAAGGCGCTGCAAGATCTTTGCATAGCCTCTGATGAGCTCAAGGTGCATGGCGACGGGCATGCGACATGATCAAATGAATGCAAAAATAGCGATGTTGTTGGGAGCAACGCTGTTGTCTGGCGCTGCTGCAACAAGTGATGAGGAGGGTGATGACCAGTTGTCCTGGCTTTGGGTCGTTGGCTTAATCCTGATGTGCGTGGGAGCAGTCTATGTGAGCGACAAGATGGTCCGAAGTGGCATGTGGCTCTATAGAAGACTGATAGGGGCATCGGGCAGCCAAGTTGATGTGATGTCCGAGCAGTAGCAGTGAGGATGAGAGAGAGCGAAGGGCAGAAATGAATGCACAGAGGGCCGCCTATGCGCAACAGGCTGATATCGATGAACTTCGGGCCATGGTGGCGCAAAGTCGGCGTATCCAAGAAGATCCCCACAACAAAATGCATGGCAGAACTCCCGAGATGTATGAGGACACGTCTCAATTGCCGAGACGACGCAAAAAGAAGGCGGAGAAGAAACAACGGGATCCAGAGGCTGAAGAAGCGGCAGTAGAAAGGGCACATCGTGATTTGATGAATCACCTGGGAAACATTGGTGGAGGACCATTTTCACGGCGGAGGTCATCACGATCGGGCTCTGGCGGTGCTGCAGCATCTTTTGCTCCTGGGTCGATGGAATTTGGCTACGGAGAACCGAGCTATGTTGCAGCTTCATCAAATCAGAGCGCATTACGTTCGGGCTCTGGAGTTGCAGCTTCATTAAATCAGAGCGCATCACGTTCGGGCTCTGGAGTTGCAGCTTCATCAAATCAGAGCGCATCACGTTCGGGCTCTGGCTTTGCATCTTCATCAAATCAGAGCGCATCACGTTCGGGCTCTGGCATAGCATCTACTTCAAATCAGAGCGCAATGCCATCGGGCTCTGGTGGTGCTGTGGTGGCGTCTGTGGGAGATGAGCGGCGTAGTGAAGGTTCCACTAACCGGTGGAACGAATTCCAACATGAACACAGCGGGCGTAGCTGGGGCTCTGACAAGTTCAGAGCTGAATACTGGAAGTATAGAGCCACAGGGCAAAAGCCAAAGTAGCTTAGGGATAAATTCGTGAAGATCAATCCGAATGCCTTGGGTCAATTCAGCCTATTTTCTTTTGGCATCATATTTTGATATTTTTCTCAGTACTCCCTGAGAAAAAGGGGGAGTCTGAATGTGATTGCAGGTTGACGCGATTTGCCATGTGCTTGGCAAGTGTAGTATCTGATCTTATCACTCGTGAGGCATTTCAATTCGAGACCAAAAAGGCCTGTGCCTTGCCCTGTTGAACTAAGACAGTAAATCATGTACCCTCTGGTAAACATTCAAAAAATATGGAAAATCACCATGTTTAATGGGAAAATCAACGAACTAAATGGCCATCTTCAATAGCAAACTGTTAGTTTACCAGAGGGTATAAATCATTCCGAACCCTGGCCCACCTTGAAGACTCTCAACTGCTTGCCATGTGCCATGTCGAAGAGGTGCACCTTCGGAAAGGATGATCCTGGGATACTAAGATACTCAGAATTATTTCTCATACATGCTATAACAGTTAGTAAAACAAACTGATAATAAGATGTTATATTATATAATAATATATATATATACACATTATAATATTATAATATATATATATACATTATAAATAACATATAATATATATAGTATATGACATGTTTATATAACATACATATGCAATATATATTATCATTTATCATTATTATTACTATGTCTATTGATCCCTTCTCCCTATTACTATATAAACGTAACTCAACAAAAAAAAAAACTAGGGTCACTGTCCAATTTTGTGAAATTTTAAATTTGTCAATTTGAGTTTTAGTTCGTACCCTTTAGAGAACAATTAAAACATGAAGGTCCCTTTTGAGGGCTGCACTCCGTAATGATAAAACTAGTCAACACCAGGGTGTTTTTCATTGGAGTATCCTTTAAAATCCAAAAGTTTTTTTTTTTTGTTTAAGTGTTTAATTGAACATTAGGGGAACCTTCGAAATACATTTTTTGGCAATTTTTTAATTAGATTTTTATCAGGAATTTAATCAAATTTGAATGTTAAATACTCCCTAATACATCCTAATACTAAAAGCTCTTCCAGGTGTTTCTTATTAGGGGGGCCGGTTTAGTATTAGGGAGCACGGATTATTCTTATTGTTATTTCTATATATTATATGTTATCTATATATGCTACCATTATCATGTTCATTTATTGGTATTATTATTGCAGTCATTATTCATCGGTATTATTGCTATTACTACGATTACATATATAATTAATTATATATATATGTATGGGTCTCTGTAATAGTCATAGTCATAATATCCATTCCCAAAATCTTATCCTCCGTGACACTTCCCACTCGGCCTTATTGGAGGCCGCGCATGCCAGCAGCGAGTCGTCTTGACCCACGCAACAGCTGTAGACCTCAGAGCCGTGGCCGTGGTGAAATCCCAGATACTTCATGTAAGGATATCTAAGGATTAACTGGTGTTCACCATTGATGGTTAATGGTGGTTAATATACTGTTAATGATGGTTTATATATTGGTATTATATGGTTAATGATGGTTAATAATAATCTGGTTGGTGGTATACCTACCCCGCTCAAAAATGATGGATTTCGTCAGTCCGGGATGATGACATTCCCAATATATGAAAAAATAAAAAATGTTCCAAACCACCAACCAGATTAAGTTAGTATATTATCTACCATTTACATCCATTTACCATTACCATCCATTACCTACATTTGCGGGTAAATGTTGGTAGATTTGTCGTAGATCGAGCATTTGGCACAGTTTTGACGCCAAAATTGAGGCAATACAAGCAAGCATGAGCTGGATACAATAGATCCTAACACAATTTCAAAGATTTTTCAATGTAGTACATCTGCCACAGGAAAAAGTACAACCCAATGGTGTTCAAGGGTTGGATAATTTTGCTTCTTGCTTAGTTGAGTAACGTTTAGATGGGACAGTTCACTGCCCCTGGCATGTAAAGCCATAAAATAGCTTAACGTAATAGGGGGCAAAAAGAATGCGGAGGGTGCCAACCTTGAGACTCTCCAAACTTCAATGCGTCAAAGAATGAACCAGAAATACTCCCTTCATCAAACAGCTGCGGCTGCCGCAACGGGACCCATTTTCCACGGCGAACGTCACTCTGTCGTGACTCCGCGAGGACCCTTCGAGCAATCTTTGACTCCGAGGCGTCCTTGCAGTGCTCGCAGGTGGGGTACATTCAAAAGGGCCCCGCTGGCGTCGCCACCACTGTACCATGATAGCAATATTTTGTCATTGGCCGTTCCATCACCATCTTCCATTTGAGGGGTTTATTGAGTTTATTGCCTCTTGATTCCTTGCCCTGAAAAAAATGGCAGGCTACACTTCTGTCATCGCTCCCTCAGCTGTTCAGGTTCAGGGCCAGGTCAATCAGTTGTTTCTTCTGGCGGAACGGAGACGTGGCGATGTCATCTGGTAGCTGTAAAAATGACGGGTTACCCTGCGGTACTCAAACATAATAAGTGGAAATTCCTATGTAAAATAGCGATTCACAGAGATTAAAACGGCACATCACATCTGATAAACGCGGGATTTTCCAGCTATGGTGAAATCCGAATCTTTCATGGCCCTTCCCAGAAACACTCCTGAATCCTGACTTATAAAAACAATACAGGTACCAGATGGTACCAGCACGTCAGCCAAAATGCGAATTTCTATGTCCATTCTTGAGTCTAGGCAGACTTGTGTGTTGGTTGGTATCACATGTTTTAAAACAAAATCACCACATTTGCTTTCCAAAGGCCTTGAATTATGGGTTTCAACGGTTACAGCAGAATGAATCCCCATTCAAACATGCTATGAGCCCCAAATTCATATTCTGGGATTTTGAAACATTTTAGGTAGCGAATTAGAAGGATTTGGGAATCCCAATTTTCTGCAGAAGTATATACCCTCAAATACCCTCTGAGAAGGTGTTTGGGCCTCAAATAAAAAGTGTTTGGGGCCATACGGATAGGAGAAACAATCCCCAAGACTGGATCGACCAGAGCCTCGTCAGCCCCAAAACTCTCAGCGCCTCTTTTGTGCCAAAACGCATCATCAAAACGATCTGCGTGGATTTGCTCCGTCCAATTTGGAACCGATACGAGTCCGATGGCATCATTGCTGCTACTTGGAGGATCATCCCACTAAGTGCTTAATAAGTGACTTATCAAATTTATAAGTGGCTCATATACCCCAAGGACTAACCACTTATTAAGTGACCCAATGTGGGTAATTATGATAGTTCATTATAACCTGAAATCAGGTGATTTGGGGGATGATTTCCTATACTTACTAACCATTCTTCCAGTGAGGTCGCAGTGAGGTCGTTATAATTTACCCAGGCTTATTCATTATATCTCCATTATATTCCAATGCTATTCCCATTTATTGTTGATTATACCATCCATTCACCCAGATTTGTCAGGTCGCAAGTCCGTTCCGGGCGCCCGTCTCTCACTTTCCCGTGGGTGCCGAGGTGGCGCTGGTGATCACCGCATCGCCCTGCTGTAGGGAGGGCCACTGAGCATTGAAGCGGCCCTCCTGGACGCTGGACGACGTTGCGGCGTGTTAGCCGGGATGGCCGGGATGGACTTTGGGGACATCAAATAGGTAAATTACGAATAGTGCAGTAATAGTTACCATCAATTCTGGGAAAAAGAGCAGAGGTAAAATCATGAATTTCCTACGAAAATCATTTTAAATTACTGCACTTGTCTATCCTTTTGGGGGTTGCTTTGTGTACTGTTCATTTTGACCCAGAAATTAAAGGAATTTCGCTAATTCCTGGAGCTGTCCGGTCGAGATAGGCAGGTCGCCTTACCATAGCAAAGCTAAACACTTATCGCAATTATCTGTTGCTTAAAACCATTAGTCTCTGTTGTTTAAATCACCAGTCTCTACATCGGTTCATTGAGAGTTCAAATATGTTAAAATCCTTAATCTCTTCTGTTTCATAAAATCCAATAGTAACTTAATTGTTGAATCTCTTGCTTGACTTAAATATACTTAATTCATCTTAGTTCATATTCCGTGATAGTGAGACTTTTTTTTAAGGCGCTGACCGTTGACCCCGTTTTCTCCTTGTCCAGGCGTTCGAATCCGTGCCTTCCGAAGACGTCCCGTTGCAGCGAGACACATTGGGCCGAGGGAATCTCGGTCAGGTACATTGTCTGGATGTAGTCCTCAGAGTACAAGGTATACATATAGGTATACTGCCTCCCCAAAGTCAAACGCTGTCTTGGTATACCCAACTGTAGATCTATAATGATCTATATCATTCTATATCCACCACGCCATGGTTTTTCCTCTTTGGAGTCCTCAGAGTGGTTGAGATTGAAATCTCAGAAAAATGCCTACAAAACTGCATGTTTTTTCCATATGGTCCCTATAAAACTCTAATTTTCTTCATCCAAAATGGTCATTTTCTGCCCGCTTTGACAAGGCACCAACGAGGCGAATAAGCACGGCACCGTGGCACAAGTGTCCTAAGACGCTTGTCAAAACTTGGGAGATCTTGGGCTAAAAGCTTAACCATGGGATATTTTTACAGATTGAGGATTAATATGATCATGTAAAAATAAAAACATCGATATAGAATTGGTTAGCAACACGAAAAACACACGCAAACTGCAACAGTCTTCAGATATATGATGTTAGTAGTGGGTTGCTTTGCCCACTATCAAACCAATGATCAAGCAGAAGTGTAGCAGAATCGTTTCTCTACATTTCAAGAGCGTTTTGGAGGCATGCTGGCTGCAAATCCTATTGTTCGGTAATAAACAGAACATCGCCATGTTTCTTCCGAAATAGCCATGAACTACAGTATATGTACTTGGAGCCGTAAACCCAATGATAAAGCATTCTCAATACCACTATAAATAGATGGTAAAAATCATCCGCGGTCATGGTAGGTTCATGGCATTGGGTTTACCACATTACTATACCCTAATATTCTATATAATTAGATCGATAGATACCAATTACAATATAGATCTATAGCGTATCTACAGTATAAATCTATATATACATATATATATATACCCTATGGTTATGACTAACATAGCCATGGTATAGATGGCCCATTGATATTTGCTTCACCTATTAACAAATGGTGGATCTTTCCATGGCGAACTGTTAGATCTGCCGAGTGTCTCGCGTGATTTGACTGACCAAGCGCTTGTAGCGCGGTAGAAATTCCCGGATTTCCGGTTCAAAGGCCTGGGCAAAAGACCATTCTGTGGCCGGCAAAATGGACTCTGGAACTTGCTGGCATTTGAAAACGAGATAAATTCCATGGCATATATGAATATGTCTGTATTATATTACATATTATATATATATTATATATATATACTAATATCATTACCAAGCCTTCCTTCTACTGGCACTGGCCAAAACAGCGGCTACGCGGCCGTGGCTCTCTTTGAGACATATTTCACCCAAGCTGCTGAGAGGAGATTTTCCAGGTCAGGTTTCTCTTCAAATGCCTCCGGCTGGTCGCAGTATGTCGCAGTTCCATGGATCATCATGATGATTGTCGAATTTCACTCGTCTCCTATTTCCTCCAGATGGATTTTATATCTGTATGATTCTAAATAATTCTGGTATATCATCACGTATCATCTAATGTCTATTATTACCCTAGTTCATATCATAGATGTCATACTATATTAATCTATATTATATAGATGATATATGATGATATTAGATTTATAATGTCAGATTTATCCATGATTCAAAAAAAAAAACAGTTCTACGGATCCCGCCTTGGTCATGGGCTCCAAGAGGAAGCCCTGCAGAATGCATCCGGCGCGGAAGGTTGCGATGGTCGCGGGGAGCTTCAAACCGAACTCGAACTTCTCGTCCATTTTCCTACACTTCAGCCCGAAACACCAATGATTTTTATGGCTATAAATGGATATAAATGGGGTTATACATGGTTTTTTATTGCCATAAATGTGTTATACATTCCATTAAATGAGGTTGTTTCACTGACTTATAAATGGTATATCGGGTAACAACTGTAGCGGCCGTGGTTTTTGATGCGGAAAAGTAGGTTGACGATCTTGATATTCCAGTGATCAATCGGCAAAACTTGGTATAGTTTCCCCAACATAAATGGGTTCACGTAGTGATTCATGTATAGTTGATGCAATAATGTGCAATAATAATAATTATTATAATAATAATAATAGTAAATAATATATATATATTGCATAGTGTCAATATAGTTCATACATTTGATATCCATATATTTAATGAAGTTACAAAATTAATGAGGAATGCACTTCATAATTCGAAATGTATACAACTGTATAACTAAGTCTTCAAAGGCCGGAAGACTTGAACGCGCAACAACACTGGAGGGTGAAGATTGGATTGTTCACATGCCTTAATGATGTTAACCAGCAAGATCAGCACAAAAAGGAAGCTGAACTGCAAATATGGGGGTGGAATCCATACTTGCTATTCCAACAACATAAGGGCATGACCCATAATGGCATGACTCAAGGGCATTATCGCCGACTGCACACCTGGCTGTTTCAATCCAACGCATCCGAGGGAAAATACGTAACCATCCACTGCATGCTGCCACAGCATTTTGCCGTACCCGCGAAATTGTCTGGAAGAACACTTACCTGAAGAATATCCCACCATAACCTCCCCAACTTCAACTAGCATTCATCTTCAGTGTTCAACAGCCCCCAGAAACAGCTCTGCCAACACTCCATTTGCTTCTCAGGCCTCTTCAACATCCTTCAACGGCCGTGTTCAACCCTAAATCTCGAAGAATAGACCTTCAATATCAACCCAAATCAACAGTATTTGATGGATCAACATATTTACTGATGCAGAAATTTGAGATGTTCCACCAACTCGTCCCCTAGAAAAATTCCCATGGCGGCTCCGTCCTCAGGCATTGAAACATCTGCGCATAGGAGGCGATGATGGCGAAGGCCGCGGCCCAGAAGAGATCTTCCTCCAACTCGTTACTCCAACTACCCTGAGACAAGATGCGTGAAGGATGGTGCAGGATGGTGCAGATACCCCCACTCGACTTGAAATCCAGGAAAACCTGTTATATTACTACACAAGATTGGCCACAGTTTAAGATGGATAACTCCTATAACTATTCTTGTATATCATTATAAACCCATTTATAACTGTTAAGGGCCCTAACTGTAGTTATATATAAACATGTTACAGAAGGATGATGCATATTATAAAGATATATTGTATATTAGTATAATTTTTGTATAACATGTTATAACTCCAATGTTAAAGTTATGTGTATATATATATATAATGTATATAAAGAACATGTTGTAACTCCATCCCCAGCAAATCCTTCAATCCCAACACCGACTCACCCATCCTCAACCCCCATCCCCAACCTTACACGAAACTTTTCACTTCCATTCCCCACATCCACAAACCCCACCTTTAAAATCAAACACATTTGTCCATATTTATCTTAACATATCTTAACCTCCTGTAAACTAACATAGCTATTGAAATGCATGGCTTTTCCCGTTCAGAAATTATTTATATACATTCATGATCATTCATGATCATTCATGATCATTCATGATCATTCATGATCATTCATGCTGGATTCTCTATATCTTATGGCAATGTCACTGGGGGGTAGAACACCCCATGATATTCCCTCTATATTTCCAACAATGCTTGATTATACCCCATCTCCCGTCCCCACGCAAAGATAAGACCAAAGACATGGATCATTTTAACATCAATTTTTAGGATTCCATTCCGATCCAAGAATATTCTAGATTTTCCCAGTTGCCGGCTGATCAAAAATCTGATTTTGCCATATATGTCCCCATATGTTTCCGATGATGTTCCCATTGAAACCGCCATTTTCATCGAAAAAAAAACTCGGGATGTCCCAGTTCTATGGCTTTGGGTCAAGTCATTGGCTCCCCTATGGATGACCATGGCTTAGTAGATTTTCCTATTGAAACCTATGCTGACTTGTGGATAGCCCATGACTTGAACCCCCCATATATAAGCATAGTTATAGGCCCTATATCCCAATTTATTGGGGGTTTATAAGATTCTATAACTATAACTGAATAATTACAATGGGGGTTACCCCAACAGAAATCCAAGTTATTGAAACAGTCATTGGTTGTCAATGGGAAAAGCAATGGTTTGTACCAAAATCAATGGGAGCCCCCCCATATGGATCCAGCTCCAGCCCCAGCTATGATTTGTTATATACCATTAAAATCCATTAATTATAGATACAATAGATAGTTATATACCATTAAAGTCCATTAATATTATATATATATATATTATGATATGATATGATAAATAGATTAATTTATGGATATCATATCTAGATTATGGATATGATAAGTTACATATATATCATCCATTGTTCAGAAAAACCTCCCCGGTCGCGTCGTGTCACGCGTCGCCTGCTGCACCTTTGGCAGCGCCACCATGGTGGCATTCGCCATCCGCTCGCTGCGCAGCATCGACATCTGCCGGGCCAGCACCGCTGCCACCAGCGACGGCGCCGGCACGGCCGCCTCCAGGGCCTCCACGACGCTCCAGAGGCCGGTGCCTGAAATTTTGAGCCGAAACAAAGGGGACAAAAACCGTGAAAATGAAGCAGAAAATGGTGGATTTTTAAGAGAAATTGGAAGAATTTGGATGTTTTAGCTGATTTGATCAAGAAAACATTGGGATTATACAATCAACAACTGAGATTTTAGATGATTTTACCATCAACAACTGGGATTTAAGCATGACAACTTGGGATTTTTGCAACAAAATACCTCAATTCTTTCTTCCATTGCTGGTTATATTCGCATTATATTGCCATGATTCTTCCCATCCCCCTAAACCCGCCCAGAAACCATAGTTTTATAGGGAATTTACACATATTTGGGACCATGGAATGGGGGTGTTTAATATTAGGGGGAAGGGATTAATAGTGATATGAACTAATAGTGATAAATAGTGATAATTAATGACTACAGTATATAATAAGAACAACTAGTGATAATTAAAAAAATACATGATACTACCAACTAGGAATATCTATGCGTTCCGTTCCACTGTTGGCTCAACTTGCAAGCAGGTTTCCCTTGGAGTCGGTCTTGTCCATGGTTCTGGAGATCAACAAGGAACCATCGCTGCTTCCGCCTGGGCAAAGATGGAGATCTTCACCATGGAGATACAATCTTATGATGTACATTATTATATTATGTATAGTATCTTAAACCACCTATCATTTATAATGTATATATATATATACAGTATATTAACACCAACAAGGAAGATCTTTTTTGAGGAAAAACACATCAAGCCTGTTGTGCCCTAAAAAAGTTCGGTTCAGTCACCATTTCTCCGGGATGATCATCAACGCCAACTGAGGGCCCCAATCAATTCTGATATCAACATCTCAGTAGCAAAAAGTAGCCTCTGGTAAACTAACAGTTTGCTATTGAAAATGATCATTTATAGTTGATTTACCTATTACTAGCATGGTGATTTTCTAGTTAGCTATGTAAACGTTTACCAGAGGCTAGCTATAATCATCACTTTTTGCCGTTACCATTTATAGATATTTATCCAACATCACCAGGTGTTTCCTCCAGTTTCTCCGATCATCTCCTGGCCTGCCGCCTCGCTGTCCTTCATTTTCACCACCTCCACGGTGATGTCCAACATGTAGGAGGCCAGCAGGCCATCATAGCGGCCACCTCTGATCGAGATCCAAGGGACACCATCACCGATGACTTGAGATGATCTGGTTGCGCGCCTTTTTTTCAGTAGAATCGATATAATCCTAAGCAATCCTAAGTAAAATATGTATATATAAATTTATATATATATATACATATCATCCCTCAATTGTCAGAGGAAATTCCACCCTTGATGTGTATTATCAGGTGTATATTATACAAAGATATACATTTCAGATCCTATTTTATTCTATCTATAGTATCAATCTATATGATTTTTCTATATGTTATGCCATACAATCAAAACATGTATCATCTGTTTGGGGAACTCCTTCAAGCAGCCTCCCATTTAGGAATATGGATACACCAGAAAATAGGTAGATATATAATTCAAACAGCTATAAAACTCGGCAATGGAAAATCCTCCATTTACAGATAATGTTCCCAGCATTTCCCAGCCATGTTTGATGACACAGGTAAATCAATAAAAACATATCCCATTTGGAGTCAGAAATTCTAAAATTTATACAAAACAATTACATGAAATTATATATATACATATATATATATAGCAATCCCCAAGAACTTTCAAAAGTAGAAAACCTGGAAAAAAATCGAAATCTACATTAATATCATATCCTATAACATCCTGGATTCCTTCAATTTCCATAGATCTTTTTGGGGCTTCCCCCTTTGGTGCGGCGCACCTTTCTTGGTCTTCCAGGACTCCAGCAGCTGGGCTTGGGCCTCGCCGCTGACGCCATAGGCCTTGAGGACCTCATGGACTTCGCCCCAGATCTGCAGCACGGCGTACTCTCCGGCGTTGTGATACCTGGGAGGACCCAGAAAGGTCCAGCTTCGGAAACGGTGGGTGAAAAATGTGGGAAATCCCGATGAAATCCCATGAAATCCCATATAAATGGAGGTTGAATGCCATAATCATCTGTGAAAAATGGTGATTGAATGAGGAGATCATGGGGATTGAAAATCGGATTTCATGGTGGCTTTTTTTGGGAATTGATCGGATAGAATGGCGATAGAAGCGGCAAACATGTGGGGATAGTGGTCATGAATCATGATACATCCACCTCCATAGGGGGTCGCAACTTAACCAACCCTCGGTGACTCTCGAGGGTCACCTCTCAAAGGTGGTGCAGTGATCCTCATCTATGGTTTGCCTGGTTGATACGCTCTGTATATTGCTGAACTATCAAATCAATAATTGGATGATGATGAACAATATACAAAACATGGTTGATGATTGGTAATGAAATATGATTCAGCCAATCCGGGTAGATGACGCCCCAATCCCATGGTTCATTATTCACCACGACCTTCTTTATTATTTCCAACAATTCCAATTTTGTCCAGAAAGCCCAACCCGATCTAATTAGATACTAAATGCAGTGTAAGGAAGAGGCATGAAGGGTAGAGTGCCACTGAAGTAGTGAAAGGGTACTTTCCAGCATGCAAGCAAGCGAAGCTCAAGTCATGTCATGATAGAACCACACACGGCAACATCATAGCCAAGCGATCGTGCACTCTTTTTGAGACTCGTGGCAAGGGGCCACTGAAGAACAAGAACACAATACAGTACGTGATTTTTTTGGGAGGATTTATTTCCTGGTACCATTTGCCTTGTATTTGCAACAGTTTGGAACTAGAACCTGTCATTTTGCATGGTATTAGTGACATTTTGGCACTTCAACCTCTCATTTTGCATGGTATTTGCATTTTGGCACTTCAACCTCTCATGTTTGCATGGTATTGCTGCATGTTGGCGCTTTAAACGTTAGGGTTTCTTTAGGTGTCCATTTGGGTTTCTTTGGGGTTTCGTATAGGGATTCTTTGGAATGAACATAAGACATCAGAAAATCATTGGGCGGCGAGGGATTTGACTTGTGAAAGATGACGCATTGAGCTTGGGGCAAACACTGCCAATGTCATGAGGCTAAACGGCCTGACTATCCTCGTGGCATGCATGGTCGATCCCAGGGGGCTATTGGCACAACACAAAAGATGTCATTTGTAAATATGTCTATGCTGAATTTCTCAGCAGTTAAATCCACCATCTCCCTTAAATGCCAAATGAGATCTAAGAACATATTCCTGATGACTTTTGTAGCTAGGCGAAATCCATCTAAATCCACTGTCCCATAAAATCCGCAATCCTCGTTGGTCAAGTCCCCACTGAATCCCCTGAAAATCCCATGAAGTCAATATAACTTCCCACAACCCTTCAAAGAGAGAGTCTTTCCATAACTTTCCACTGGTTCATGAGTAATTTATGAGAAAGTCCCATCCATTCCCTTCAAAAATCCACAGAAATCCCCCCCCCCAAGCGACCAGTGACATCTTCACGCAGGACCCGGCCCCGCCCTTGCCATTCATCGTGGCACAGGGCCGTCCGTCCGCCGCCTTCGCGGCAGCGGCCTCCACGATGTGCCGCACGTCGTTCCAGACGCTCAGCGTGCCGCCGGGGAAGAAGGCGGGGCCCTTACCTGGAAACATCTGGATTTAATGGGAGTTCATACGGAATTTAGTGGAATTCATTGGGATGTGACTGGATTCAATGGGGTTTCACGTGGAATTTAGATGGACATGAGTGGAGTTGAGTGGATTTCATTGGATTTACTGGGATTTGATGCGGGATTTATGTGGAAATTAATAGATTTTATTGGGATTCCATGTGACTAATGGGACTTCATACGGAAATTAGAGGAAATTAGTGGGATTCAATTGGATTTAATTGGATTTATATAGTGGGATTGAATGTGTTTTTTTGGGAAATGAAAGGGGACATCATGCAACATCCAGTGGTTTAATGGTGATGTAATGGGATGCTTAGCAATTTATCAATCAATGATGCGATAGTCATTGGGTGATCCCTGGGATTAGCCATATACAAGTGCGCACTCTCATAAACTCAAGGTTCACGAAAAGGACATCAACACATTTAGGAAGGTCCCATCGTTTATACAAAAATGATGTATGGCACATTTGGGGGGTATGGCTTAAAGGAACATTATTTTGCACAAGCATGGCAAAACCTTCAAAGAGGTATCGCTATTTGGGAAGGTCCCATCGCTGAAGTCATGTTTGTACAATGCCAATCATGAAAGGTGAGGCCCCCTAGTTAGCTAAGATGGTTTATAAGTAGGTTATAGGATGTTATAGGTAGGATTTGTGGTAGACATAACTATAGTTCGCCGGGTTTCTGTTTAACCAACTTATAACAAGGGGGGGGGGTCAGCTTGTGAGGAATTCATGGCAAATCCATGGGATTTAATGGCATCCAAGGGCAAGTGAAGCCGTGCATGTTACAATTTTATGGAGTAAACATTATTAATTGTTCTTTTTTGGACCCCAGAATAGCCCGGTTGCAAAATCATATGGATATATACATAATATCTTATAATATGATACAAATATATCGGATGTCCCTAACAACATCCCCAATTTGCGTTTCATTATTGGGCATATGTTCAGGATTATTTAGAATTGTGTGTCGAAGCAATTTCAACATGACAAGATGATAAAAGTGATCAAACCCAAGCCCATCATTCTGGGTAAATTATAATAATTCACCAACCTGAATTAAGGCCACCAACTTCTTGCAGTCCCTGCCCACCTGAATCTTGCGGCCATTTGGGGATCATGTCCCTTACTAACCATGATTCCAGGCTTCGGGAGAACAGGCTTCGGTCGTGATGAAATTTACCCAGATCATTGGCTTCCCCTGATCGATGGGTGGATTCCACGGGATTTTTTTTGCCAGAGAAATCCAGGTCACGTGCCCCCTCGGCACCACCGCTGACGCCTCGATAGACCAAACGTGTAGGACATGGGACGAAAGCAAAAAATCACTCCGGTAGCAATGAAACATGGGAAAAACCTAGGAAGATATGGGTAAATATGAGAAAATCCACTAAAATTGGAGGTTTCAATGGGAAAAAACCCTCTACAAATAATGGATGTCTGCCATGTTTGATTACCAGAGGCTATTTATTTGGGTCATAATTTAGCGTCATTACTAATTAAATAGTGTCAACAAAAAGATCCAAATTGGGCGTAAATATTTGGGAAAATCATGAATCCTGTGAATTGATCTTGAGACCATTCTTGGAATCGTTTGGTCAGTCGAGTACATGACTGAACTTTTGAGTCATTTGCTACGCAAATGACTCGGGCAAATATGAGTAAATAGAAGACATGTGTCATATGACCAAAACATGGAGGCTTCATAATACCCATATACTACATCTGCCACATCAAAATCTTTGAAAATCCAACAAATTTGCTCACACCTTACAATTTCTTGGTAAACAAACATAGAAACCATGCCAGCCAAAAGCCGTCCGAAAGCAACGTCCACTGCCGAGAAGCCCATCCCTAAGAAACGCAGACCTCGGGCTTCCAGTGACTCAGCTCTTCGAATCTGGTCCCGGAAGTTGGCATTGCCCACATCCTGAGCGAAGCATCCAGTGGATAGTTCCCCAAACCTTGAGGGTGCCATGATTGGCCATGTATTCTATGAATTGTGGTGTCAATCATGGTGTCTGACTCTGTCACTCATACATACACGTCAGGATACTCATCATTTTCTCAGGGGAAAAAAGACCTTAGGTCATGATCTTAAGATGACAACAACATCTGCCCGTTGTCTCGTCCCAAAAGCTCCCGTAGCTTGGCCAAGCATCGATGATGATGTCATCCTTCTCGAAGAGCTCAGCAAGTTCTTCGATCACCGCGTCGGTGGCTTTGCCCGCGGGGACCAGCATGATGGCTTTCCGCGGGCGCTTCCTGAGAGTCCCAACGGTCCCAACAGGACTCCAAGGTCATGAGGAAATATGAGGAAACGATGGGAGAAAAATAAGAGGCTGAAAATTAACTGTGAACATACATATATATATATATATACATGGATATATGTATATGTATATGTATAATTATGTATATGTATATGTATATGTATCTGTATGTATATATATATATATACATATGAATCTTATATGAACATATGTATAATAAATCATAATAACATGTCCATTGTTTCAGACTTCTCAAAGATTTCAAACGGCTTCTCTAAGTAATCTTGAATGCTCACGACATGTAAGTGCCAAGCTTCCTTCCCCAGTCATCTCCCTTCCACAATGTTCATCACTCAGACATCTCGATACAATTGACAACAATAAATATCCATATCTCATTAAACTGGTTGGTTCATAGGTATTCCTATGGTTCAAGTTAGTTCACAATCCCTACTGAAACCAAGTGGTATAAAACATTATAAAGCCACATTACAATCAACCAACTAATATCAACTGACTATCATCTATAACCTACCTCCTCAATGTTTGGTGATGAAGATCAACCATACTCAAGCTATATGAAGCTACAATGACCAGCTGCTGCCACGGCTCAATGAGGTCACGAAATCCTTCAGTTTTTCTTTGCCCCCAAAACCTGAAGATCTACCAAGGACGTGAAGTGGGAAAGAAATATGACCCAGAAGTACGATACCAATTACAATGAAATGGGAAATGGGTACCCTCTGGTAAACCAACGTAACTATGGAAAATCACCATTTTTAATGGGAAAATCCACTATAAATAGCAATTTTCAATAGCTATGTTAAACTACCAGAGGGTATTTACTATTTAAGCCAATTTGAAACATGTTCGTGGTTCTTAATATGCACTGAACGAGCAAACTACGTCTAGTAGTAAAATACCACGATTTGAGAAATCAACTCAAATAATTAGATGGCCTGGAAGAACAATAACAAACACGTACGAAACAATCTATCAAGAAATCCTGGCAGATTCTCCATTTCACTTCAATCATTTGAAACTAATTGTAATTCTGCTTCCTGAAACACTTATGGCGGTGAAGAAACTGAAACGCTTAAAACAATATCGTTATCCAATCAGTGGTTTTGCGAGTACCTGACCATACCTGACCTACACTCACCAGCCCAAGTAGGAATATATGAATGCTCAGCAGACGATCATCAGCTGGTGCTGCAAGGTCAAGTGATGCCGTCGAGCCATGTCGCAAGCTGAACAAGGATCGGTGGGGATCACCATGTTGGACAAATGGATTTTGTGTCATATTCACAAGCAATACCCTCTGGTAAACTAACATAGCTATTGAAAATGGCCATTTATAGTGGATTTACCCATTAAAAAAGAGGGTACCTTTGAATTTCTCTCCAGTAATCCCCCAGGTTCTAGCAAGGAATTACAGTGCTCCAACAGAATAAATCACCACAAAAGGGTGATCATGTGGTAAACCTAACCCGTTGACCATCCCGGCAACCAGTGGGGGCTCATTTCTGGTGGTATCCACTTAATCCAGCAACCCGTTGACCGTCTCAGGCACCATGCAGGTTGCTGTAGCTGGAGTTCATGGCTAAGACCGACTGCACCTGTTGCGCACTCAGGTCATAGAGCGACACATGGAACTTTTCTCCATTGTAACCTGAGGCGAAATTTGGGAGGAAAAGCTACTGGGACTCTCGTCCCCGGGGAGGGATGGAACATATATATATATATTGAAACCACCATCAGTTCAAAGAAGCGTCAACTTCAACCTATCAAAACATATCTCTATAATTATCTATAGATTGAAACAATCTTAAACATACTTAAAATCAACATGTTGAAGCCAGCCCATACTTTTCGTGTACTTCGCCTGTCCGAGCCGCTCTTGTCCGCGATGTTGAGGCCCAAATTCGAGCCCATCACCCCACTGCCGATGATGCCAATGTCTGAGACCTGAAGAAGGCGCAAATGGCTATTGGTCAAAACCCTGGCACCTAGTGAACCCAATAGCTGGTAAATGGATGTTCATCCCATTAGAATTGATAATAATAGGTTTTGACCCACCCCCAAATAGTATCCTGGTTGACTCAACCCCTCTGAAAAATATGAGTTTGTCAGTTGGGGTTAAATGGGATCATCATGCCGAATCATGCCATAATGCCAGGTTGCAAAAAAAAACACCCCAGGTACAAGGGGTGTAAATTCTTCGGTAGATACACAGGTAACATGATGAGTTTATCCCCCCAAAGTGGCTATCATTTATAGCAACCCTGAATATGTCATACTCCATTCATAGTCCATCAATATTCCATTATATTCCCCATCATAATCCATCCAAATATATGGGGATGGGTCAAAACCCTGGTACCTAGTGAACCCCAAAATAGCTGGTAAATGGATGTTCATCCCACTAAAAATGTATCTATAGGTATTGACCTATAGCCATATTAATTGGAATATCCAGTAATAACCCATTGCATTCCCATTAACATTCATCATCACTGATGATCAACCGGTGAATTGCAGGGGTTATACCCCATTTTTAGACACAAATATTGGGACCATCATGCCATATAACACTTAAAAAAACTACCCTCTGGTGATTTAACATAGCTACGGAAAATTACCATTCTGAGAGTGTACATCATGTATAGTTTGGCAATTTTCCGTTATCTCATGATATGACCATCACAATTCATCCAAATACATATATATATATATATTAATGGGATTATTAAATCATTAACATCAAAATTCACCATGGTTATAGATGGTGTCAAAACCACATTTGGTATAGATCATGGCACCCCCATTGGACCAGTGGCTGCCGCTGCTCCGCCATAGCCCACCATGGCGACGAGACGCCACGGTTGGACGGAACCGTCACTGTCGTGGCTGGGAGATGGCAACGGCATGAAACGATGACCCCGGGCTCGGGAACCAGGGGTAGGTAAGGTTGGCAAATCCAACAGGGTTTATGATAGGTATATATCTATATGATATAAATATCTATATGATACCTATAATATAATATCTATATGATTGGATGGGATATATATATATAGGTATATGATAGGTATATGATAGGTATAACATTATAACATATTATAACTATATCTATAACTGGTATATCGTGGTTAATCCCGATCCGGTTGCAACCATCATAACCATCCCCGAGAGAAACTCAACTCCGGTTGCCCCAGCCTTTGTTGCCAAATCCCAATGTATTCACCTGGTCTATTGGCTATATTGGTTCTTTGCTTGTACTGATGTTTGGTTCAATGTATGTATATATATATATATATATGCACGACGTACTGATTGTTCAGATGTTGATTAACAAATAAACATGTTCATTCACATGCTCTGTGGTTATATTCATGATGTGTTTCAAAAGAATATCATATCACCCTTCTATTCCCAGTTGTTTTTTACCCCAACAAACCAAGGTGAGTCATTAAGAATACCCCTATCCCATCTCATTAATTAGTTGAAAACGGTTTCCCTACTATTGGTTGTCATAATTTCCCCAATGAACTATAGGTAGTACAAGTCCCAACATATCAACACATCAACCTGGGTATTTTGAGTGGCTCGTTGCCAGACATCGCCCCTTGCTGCGCTTGCTGCCTCCTGCTTATGCATCTTCCAAAGGGGCGTTGCTGGGCTGGCTGCCGCCGGCCGTGCGATGCATCGCCAAGCGCGGTCCTGAACGGATGGGAGAGACCGAGAGACCGAGAGGCCCGGCCAATCGAACAAAGCCAAGGGATCGTTGAAAGAACGAGACATAACTAGTGGTTGGTGGTATACCTACCCCTCTGAAAAATATTAGTCAGTTGGGATGATTATTCCCGATATATGGGAAAATCAAAAATGTTCCCAACCAACCAGACTAGGAAATATTGGGTTCATTTGTTTTTTTAAGGGTATAGATGTATAGTTGAGCCCCAAATCCATGCTGGGTTGTTGCGTGTTGTTGCTGTCGCGATTTACGCCGGACTATATGCTCCAATTTATGGCCAAATGCTGGGTGAAACTGGATCCAACTTCAGCTTCGGGGACGATGATGGAGGTGTCCTCTCTGATGGGTTTTAATCTTACAAATGGGTATGGGTCAATACCTATTAATACCATTTTTAATGGGATGAACAACTATTTACCAGCTATTTTGATGTTCACCAGGGGTACAAGGTTTTGACCCATCCCCAAATGATCACAAATTCAACTACTGCGGTTCAGGACCCCATCTGCTTTGCTTTTGGAAAGGTATGATACAGTGATGTAGTGGATTAATAACTCAAGAGGGGACATGATCAGCGTTGAATGGCGGAGAAATGTGATCATGGTGATCGAAGGGGTTTAGATTCAGTGATATCAGGACATTTTTTGGGTGGCAAGCTATATGTATATATATATATATACATCATTTTGATTCCTGATTTTGTAGGGAATCTTAATCTTGCACAAGATACTCATGCCATGCCGCCGACCTTCCTAAACTCCCAGCTACATCCATGCAACTCTCTGTCTCAAGGCCAATTTGCAGGTGTAGATGGGATTGTGAAATCGATCACAAGGCATTTCAGTTGAGTCAGCCATGAAAATACCCCTATCCTATCCGATTAGGTGGTATAACCCCCTATAATAAAGAATCAACATGGTATTTCGAATCGCTCATGTGTGCAAGGTCAGAAGGAATTGGGTGGATCATTTGATACAGTCTTGGGCTGGAAAACAGCAGCGACAAATTAAATCGTAACTACCTATGATACAACCCACTCACAAAGCAAAAAAGATCACAATATACAAGTGTAAATTCAATATAGATCATACACACATATCATGTATATATTCACATACAAAAAATGCTTACAATTCAAAGATACATGTCACAAATGAAATTAGATTCACTAAGAAAAACTTCATAGTCACTATCACCCATCCTGCATATCCTGCACCCCCACCGGGCCACGTCCTGTGGTACGCCAAAGCCTTCCGGCGTCAGCTCTCGCAACGCTGTGGCTAGGCGTGGCCAAACGTAGGACCAGGGACCCATGTTCTTGGGCTCCTCCTGGAGAGGCACAGCCTTCAGGCCTTCAGCCCAAAAAAGCATCAGAAGTATATGGAAGATATATAGAAGCATAATATATATATATATATTATATAATTATATATAAGTATACATATATAGTATTTACCAGATAAAACTTATACCCCCAGCTAGACAAGTAATACCAAATACTTACCAACCTATCTTGTGGCTTCCTTTCCATGGTTCTTCCCTTGCCCCGGGCCCAAACCTGAACCCAGCACAGCTCTGCATGCGGATACTGACCTCGATGTCCAACCAGGGCAGGTCATCCCAAGGACATTAAAAAATGTCGCTTTTTGCTGATGATCTGGGTATGGGTCAAAATTAGGTACCCCAATAATTGGATGGTTAATACCAAACTAGACTAACATCTGTGGTCCCCTAGGTCTTCCATTTTGACCCACATCCATCTTTTTGTGTTGTTTGGTTTATTACCAGTAATTGGACTGAGCTGCTTCAAACAACAGATTTTTTGCCAGTCCAACAACATCTATTTTGCCGATGATTCGGAATTACCAAAATGTATCCATTTTGCTGCTGGTAAAAGTGGGGGTTTGCTGCTATGAACAATTACTCTCAGCATTGTTTTTCTGTATGATGCAAGAATTACCAACATTTGTGGGCAAATGTTCGAAAGGAATCGCTCCATGACAGTCCTCCCTTTCATGGTCTCAACATTGAGGAAATAATTGATTTGAACTCAGGCGACCTTGTCAATAAGCTATCTCCGTTGGGGGTTTTACTCTTACTATCCATGTTTGCCGCCAAAATTCCAGATGTTCATGGCACATGTTTCATCATTTGGATGTGTCTGAAAATGGGATGTACTTCCAACATGGATCAACATTGCAATCAAAGAAGAGGGAAACATGAGGCACTAAACCTGTGGATGATTTAGGAGTACCCTGTTTCCAGACACGCCCATGATATTGTTTGCAATTTTGCATCCCATATATCTATATCCATCACATCCATCCATTAAATTGGATCCCCAGATTTCCTATTGTTAGTTCAATCCCTATGACATCCCCCAACTTCATCTCATCCCCCGGGCCGGGGAGCTGCAGACCAGTGCCACGCTCATGGCTGGGAAGGGAGCTAGCTGTTCGAGGCGATGTAGAACCACCTCACCTAGGTGGCGATGGAAACAACATGGGGAAATCTTGGGAAAAACATGGGGTTTTACTGGAGGTTTTACCTGTATTTGCCATATTAGTGAACCTAGATGTTACATATATATATATATATATACATATATTAACCTATGTGAACCAGTATATTTCACTTGGAAAACCATGGGGAAATGGAGTTATAACATACTTGGATGTGCATCCCACGCTGGGGTTTATAATCCATATATATATATAAATTATATTATATTATATTATATTATATGATATGATATTATATTATATGATATTATATGATATATATATATATATATATATTATTATATTATATGTTATATATATATAATATATATATATGTGTGTGTATCCGTATATCCAAATATATATACACATATATATATATACACATATACGTACATATATATAATATATAATATATAATATATATATATATAATATTATATATAATATATTATATATATAATATATATATATGCAATAGGGGAAAATCCATATATAACTGGGGGTAGAAGCCATTTACTAAGTGGGGCCCAAGTAGGTCAATGATATCCCCATGGGATTCCCATGAGATCACCCCACCATGCACGGCTACTTGGAAGATCATCCCACGGAACCCTAAAATAATCGTTAGCTGAATAGGCTTGCTTTGCAAAGCACCATTGCCTGCGAACATATTATGTTATAATATAATTCTATAACATATCATATAACAACACAAAAAGGCTTGGTGCGACATGGTGCGACCCTGACGTAGTCACGTCCCAGGAATTCCTCAGATTGCAGCGATGGAAACCATCTGCTGTCAGTGAACGTGTGCCGGCTGTCACTTGGTGAACTCTGAATCCTTTGCGACTTTAAGCAGTTTGTGTTGGCCACTGAAGGTCACGCTTTGGTCAGCAAAAGTGTGGCTGTTTCGTTTGAGTCGATCGAGGAGGTCACGCGACGCTCTCGGGGAGTCGACCCAAAAAACAAGGATCATGGGGTGACGTGAGGGATGGGTAATAGAAAGCAAAAGCTGAAAAGGATGTCTTCGAATTATTCGAATTATTGTCTCTTTACATTTCACTAAGCTACATCCCAGTCAATATAAACCCAGTAATTATTGATAATGGGTTTGAAGAATGACAAAAGGATTACATACTCATGTAAGCGGTAAAAATGTATGCTTATGTAACTATACTTTAGTAAGAAGGGTGATTTATGTTCAAGGGTAAAACAACGTATGATATGACTAGCGGAAGACAGTTACATTGTGACCCTGGATCATGCATGACTATACCAAGGCCCCAGTAAAGGGCAGCTAGTAAATGGAACAGTAAAGGGCAGCTAGTAAATGGATGTAAATAGTGGAACAGTACAGGCTAGTAAACGGGCACTTAAAAGCTCAAACATCACTGATGAGTCGTGTATATATATATATAAATACATATATATATATACATATATATATATACATACATACATATTTATACATACATACATATGTGTATATATATATGGTTTCCTAAAATGGGGGTACCCCTAAATCATCAATTTTAATAGCATTTTCCACTATAAACCATCCATTTTGGGGATCCCCCATTCCACAGAATGTCTTGGGATGATCATACCAGTCAAGTCATTCTTTTCGCTGCTACAATAATGAGTTTCCCTGCAATGGAGGAATCAGGAGATCATGGGGATGTCAACAAAGAAATATGGTTGCTTTTTGAAAATGGAATGTCCCACAACATCCCGAAACTATTGCAGTTTAAGAGGTTGAAATGACCAAATTCCGTTGATTTTGAGGGCACTCAACCATGTTTAGAAACCCCGGATAATATGGGGATACAAACCAAAAACTAGCTGTGGTCAAGCTGGCCCAAAAAGTCCCAAAAACATGTGTTTCGTTGGTCACTTAAAGGGAGCATGGTAAAACGCTGGATGTAACCAACTCAAATGTAGATCCAAAAAACATGTTACCATGGCGTGACTTTCGGTTTCAACGGCTACTTTTAAAGCAAACATCCATGACTTTCCAGAAGCAAACATTTTCTACAAGAGTTTTCTAGTAGGGCCCCTAAGTTCAACCATTGACATCTATGAGTCACATTTACATATATATATATATATATTATATGACATAATAATTATACATAATATGATATTGAATAATCTAATTAATACTGAATTGTATTATATTATCTTTAAGAGTATTACACCATATTGTATTACATTATATTATATCATATTGGATTGTATGGTATCTGGTATCATATCATATCATATCATATCATATTATACTATGTTGATTATATTGTAATGTATTGTATTGTATTGTATTGTCTATCATATTATAATATCATATGGATTCATATGAATCATATTATATTTTATCAAATCATTTGAGAATATACACACTTCCCCCAGTTCGGAGTAGTCAGTTCACCACCTTTGTTGCATCTGCCCAACAGCGCCGCCCAGCGACCTTTCAATCCTCTCCGATCGCGAGCGCTTCGCAAATCGTAGAAGACCTGCAGAAACTGCTCGGGCTTCTCACAGGTCAAAACGGTTCATGAGTCCTTATTGACCCATGGTTAATCCAATATTAACCATTATTAATCCTTATTGACCCATGGTCCCATGGTTTTTAGAGGTAACACATAGCCAGTCTACGCCCAGCCTGACCGCTGCAGAAGATCATGCGCTTGCAAGTCATTGGATCTGTCTCGCCGGCCTCAGTTTAGCAGGTTTATCGCGAACCGAAGTCACCCTGGAAAGCCTGAACATGACGTACATATATACACATATTATCATATATATATATATATATATATACATATTAATATGCGATTAGGTGAATGCAACTGATAAATGTAAGTGATGTTGATATTTTTCTGATTCAACATAATACATATTATATAATACCTTAATATTATTATATTGTAAGACTTAAAATCACACTACAACTGGTTTGCAAGATTATTTTGGAAGATGCTTTGGACTCAAATACAGTAACCGTTCAGGCACCAGACACCCGCAGCTTACAATGTGGCGCCACGATAGGTTTCTGTTGGTTTATGACTACCAGAACTAGGGTTTAGGGGGATATATCTATAGTATTCTATAGTCAGATGGGACAAAATAAACAAACAAACATAATTTGGTATACATATATAGCACATTTGGAACAGTGGTATTGTTGGTTTCATCAACTATACGCCTATGCTATCCTGATATCTCACTACACCCTCACGTCTCCTAATTATTGCTGGTTCTCCCTATCACATCCCCAATTCCATATATTCTTGTTCCACATCTATACTGGTTGGTGGTTTCGACCCCTCTGAGAAAATATTAGTCAGTTGCGATTATTCTTCTCAGTATACGGAAGAATAAAAAATGTTCCAAACCAACAACCATATGTATATATATATACATATGTATTGTATAACCCATTACACAAACATATTCAAAACCAGAAATATTTCGCTGCCATCGCTGCCCTGGCCAATCCTCATTCTTCGTATTCTTCAACGGATTCTGATCCATGAAATCTCCAGTATATAAAGGAGTGGCTATGTTTCTAACCTCCATACGATCCTCAACAAAAATATCTAAAAAAACATGTATATCTATAATTAAATATATGTATATATATATTATATATATATATCACCTATTACATCCCGAAATATGTGAAAAATGGTTGAATCTGTTGAAAACTCCATATGAAATGACGAGAACATGACCTTCGAAAATCCTCATCCATTTGACGCCAGGCCACTGTCTCCGTGTTCATGTTGTCACCAGTGCCACCCTCCTGGGTCACAGCAAGAGGACTTAGGACAGCTCCATTAAGACATGAAGTTGAAATACTCCAAGATGTCATCCAACGATGTAGAAATATGAGAAATGTGCTTCTGAAACTGACTAGTTGGATATAGTTGGATACTAGTTGGTATAGTTGGGTATTTTATAGTAGATATTAATCGAACTTGTGGATGGGGTTCAACCAACAAATATAACTGAGGACACCATTTGTTGCGGGGATCCTTTTGACATGCCTTGACCGTACGATGAATGCGGGGGAAGTAGAAACCACGGTATGTAGCCTCGTGGAACTAACTGAACAAACATGACCATAAGAAATAGAATTGTTGAATGCTCGCTGGCTTGCAATGATTTGATCAAATTGAGGACTTTCCATCTTGACAGCTCTGGAATGCTCTGGAGCACTCCCGGCTTCCCCACCTGAATGAGTCGCTGGAAGCGGGTTCCAGACATCATATCTTCCAGCGGCGAGCGACAAGGCCTTGAGAGGACGCAGTAGCGAAGTTCTGCCCAAAACATATGGGCCGTGACCTTACAAGATGGGATGTGGAATACATCTGGCAAGCCTCCAAGCACCAAAGGAACTAAAACATTAAAAACCTATTTAAACAATTTCAAGCCGTATGTCAGGGTACAAAAAAATCAGGGCAACATACCCCTGTTTGGGTCACTTTAAGGCAGTTTGGGCAAAAATGCCGCACCCACATGCCGTCTATTTGGAACCGTTCCTGGATGATGCAGTTTCCTCTGGTCCTTAGCAATCCAGGGATATCCCCGAGCCAGGATCAATAGTGTGCCCTGAAATCCTGAACTTGGTGTTCACTACTTAACTTATCATCTGGTTGGTGGTTTCAACCCCTCTGAAAAATATGAAAGTCAGTTGGGATTATTCTTCCCAATATGTATATGGAAAATTACTTTACTTCGTGTGATCCCCACCATGGCATTTATACATTTTCTTACTGGCAAATCTTCTGGCATTCTATCTGACATATCTCTATTCTATTTGGCATTCTATCTGGCATATCTTCTGGCATATGATCTGGCATATCTTCTGGTATATTTTCTGGCATTCTATTTGGCAAATTTTCTGGCATTCTATCTGGTATATCTTCTGGCACTCTATCTGACATATCTTCTGGCATTCAATCTGGCATTCTATCTGGCATATCTTCTGGCATATATTCTGACATATCTTCTGGCATTCTATCTGACATATCTTCTGGCACATATTCTGACATATCTTCTGGCATATCTTCTGGCATATCTTCTGGCATATCTTCTGACATATCTATCTGGCATATCTTCTGGCATATTTTCTGGCATTCTATCTGGCAAATCTTCTGGCATTCTATCTGGCATTCTATCTGGCATATCTTCTCGCATATTATCTGGCATTCTATCTGGCATATCTTCTGGCATATCTTCTGGCATATCTTCTGACATTCTTTCTGACATTCTTTCTAACTTTCTTCTGCACATTCTTTGTCCCATATTTCCTACATGAGGTCCGGCAGGGAACACTTGGCGTGGATACTCGCGGTTGAGGTCCGGCAGGAACACTGGGCGTGGATGGTCGTGGTTGAGGTCCGGCAGGGAACACTGGGCGCGGATGGTCGTGGTTGAGGTCCGGCAGGGAACACTGGGCGTGGATGGTCGTGGTTGAGGTCCGGCAGGGAACACTGGGCGTGGATGGTCGTGGTTGAGGTCCGGCAGAGAACACTGTGGATCGCGGGTCGCAGTTGAGCAAGGACGACGAGGACGACGAGGACGACGAGGACGACGAGGACGACAAGGACGACAAGGATGACAAGGAGGACGAGGAGGACGAGGAGGAGAGGAGGAGAGGAGGACGAGGAGGAGGACGAGGCAGGAGGAGGCAACTGACATAAAATCTAACAACCCTCACCTGGCAGGTGGGGAAATAAAAGCCATGTTCCAAACCACCAACCAGTCATGGTCGACTGTGGAAACCACCAGAAAATCCCATCGCAATCCCCCATTTTTCCATCGAAATCGTCCCCCGTTTCCGGATTCGTGGGATCGCTGCCTCACCAAGGGACGTATGCTTCAAGAGGATGTTTTTCCCGGTCATCACCACCAACGGCTTGGCCTCACAGCTGGAATGATGGAATACAATCGGGATATAGGGAAGATCAATGACATATAAGAGCAACATAGAGCAACACATGATGATTGTCTGAAATAGTGCATTTACACATATTTACCATCACATTTATCGTTTAATCGGGATAATCATAATCATCCTGTCGAATTGGGGGTGGAGTCAATATGGCTGATTTCAATTGTACCATTTCGATGGTGGAATTCAATTGATTCATGGAACAGAGTGCGGGAAACCATGAGTGCCGCTCGGGGGCATGTTTTTCTCCCGGCCAATCAATTGGTTGCCACCACTGTCGATGTACACAAACATGCTTGAGGTTAAACCAAACCCAAATTCAACCAAGACAGGGTAGCCAACTGTCCCATGTGGAAAAAAAAATACGATATTCATAGAAATCCCATATAGGGAGATCATAGAAATCCTTTAGAAATCCCATAGGAATCCCATAGGAATCCCATATGTGGGTCATGTTCCGATGGTTTCCCCCAGGGCTTTTCCCACCATCAGTGAGGCCCCTGCAAAGCTTCGGTGAACTTGGCGCCGCAAGACATGGAAGAGGTTCGCAGGCGTCGTGATGTACCTGGAAGTGAGGGCCAACATGTTGGGTCTAGAAATAGATATGCTAAACATAACAATGTATATATATACTATAAGTGTACATTATATTATATAACTATAAATTATATATTATAAGATACATATATATATATATATAATCTACACATTATAGTATTCATATAATACAATACATAATATATCATGATATCAAAATTCACCAGACCCCACTTAGCCTTTCCGACAAGTAGCACCACCATGAGATTTCTGCAGGCATCGAAGTTCTCCTCAAGATGATGACCCCTAGAGGATCATCCCAAGAACAGGTTAGTACCCTGGGGTCAACTAACATAAATGAAGAAAATGGATGGACATGGCCCATAGAAATAGATGACTCACCTATAGAAAACTGTGATTTTCATTGATTTTCCACATCTATGTATGTGAATCTATGTTAGTTTAAAGGAGGGTTTTTCCTGACCATGGTCATTGCATGCCTTTCAGTGGCATGGGAATTATGAATTCATGGGTACCTTTCCTGGATATCATGAAAAACGTTGTGACATGCGATGGGAAGTATAGAATCATGGGAATCAGAATGAATAAGTGCAACATTTCTTGGAAGATGTTAGAATCAATGGATTGGTTTAAGGGAAAATTTGCAGGAAACCATGGATTTCCCCATTAAATATGGGGCTTTCCTGTAAATTTTCCCTTAAACCAATCCATTGATAGAAATAACATGGATATATCATGGTGGGATATAATGGGAATGTTAAACGGGGATTCATTGAGAAATAATTGGAATATCATTGACATTTATCATGATGAAAACCAGCACAAATCTGGATGTCTGTAGCAATTTGATTGGGGAACATGGGGATAAGATAATGAACATATATATATATATATTGTTTTGAAGAATGTTGATATCATATATGTATGGATGTTGGATAATATATATATATATATATACACTTACATAGAATATACTAGTAGAACTTAGAACCTGATTTTTGGGGGTCTGTCTAAGAAAGGAGGACACCTCAAACATGGCAATCTCAATGAGAAAATAGCCATTTTACCCATACCTTCATCCTGGCCAACTCGGATAACCTTCATGCTTTGAATGATCTCTTCCCTGAAAAGTTGATACGCTTTATATAAGCAGATTCAAATAAGTTTCTGACATGATCTGACATATTGTCTGACATCTATGTATTCTGATATATATATATATATATATATGATATATTATGTATGTGATATCTTCTGAGATGTAATTATTACATTCCGAATTGGCTAACCATCTATACATACTAAGGTATTTCCTGACATGTTTTTGAGATATATCCAAACAAATATTCTAGATATCGTTGGACATACATTGGGCTATATTCATGGGCATATATTCTGACATGTTCTCTGACATATTTGACAGGACATATCTGGCGGTGGGTTGGAATCTTTAGCCTTTCGTGGCTGACAATTTACCAAAAGAGTTAGTCTGGGATGCCTAGTGATGCCTAGTGAACCTCATGACTCATGGTCTTCCAAAGTGAAAACCTCATTGTCTGCAGCGATTTTCAACGTGATCCAATCACCCATTCTTTGAGGTCAAACTCTGGATTCTTCTTTTGCGTTGCTTGAGTTCCTAGATCCGAAACATTCAACAACGCGTTCTTGGTAACCCCAGAAAAAGAGGAATCGGGAAAAGCGTCAATTTGTTGAAAAGCTTCAATTTGTCGCTGTATAAGTTAGATTCGGATGCGATCTTCTATCATTTTGGGGGATCGCTATAACCTCTTCCGCAGAGGTTACAAAAAGAAAAACGGTCCTGTAGCAGCGCGAGTCGATGCACGCTTCGCTCCACAGCACTTTGATCCTGGATTTCACCAACTAAACTAAACCATATTGGGTACATAAAGGGATATGACAGGAATGTAGATATATAATGTAATATGTATATGTATATATATATGCATTTTCAATGTATTATATTAATATATATATATATATGCATTTTCAATGTATTATATTAATATATATATATATGCATTTTCAATGCATTATATTAATATATATATATATGCATGTTCAATGCATTATATTAATATATTAATATATATGCATTTTCAATGTATTATATTAATATATATATATATGCATTTTCAATGCATTATATTAATATATATATATATGCATGTTCAATGCATTATATTAATATATTAATATATATATAACTATTATAATCTATTATATATTATTAAATATAATGCATAGATGACCATCAAAATTGGGGATGCTGCATGCTTAGCAATGAGAAATCCAGGTGAACATCAATTACATAAAGCAATAATCTTTTGTACTGAGTGACAGTTTCCTGTAACATTCGTACTCACAGCTTCTGTAGTAGCTCATGTTTTCACTTTGAAGTGTTTCTATCACCAGAACTTTCAGGTCCAAAGAATAGGAGTGAATGGCCCATACCGTGATTCTGCGATTCTGCTTAGCCATATCAATAACATCACAACTTGGGACTGGAACATTCCATTCTGGTTTGGAAGCGCTTGATCGGAGTAACGCCGACTTGTCAAGTCTGCAGTGGTGGAAAAGTGAAGCAGTATCCCTACCAATCCGCATGGTAGCGGAGCCTGAGGGCTCAGAGGCGATGTATTCCTCTCTGCAGAGCCGAGGGGAGTTCTCTGGATTGGATGGTGCGATTCCGCGGAATTGCGATGGGATTCCAATTTGGAATGGTGAGCCTGCCTTGCTGGATGAGTTCACTGAGGCATGTCTCCGCTATGAGCAGACCATAGTCATGGAGAAGCGCTACCTGTGTGGCCCCCGCATAGCTCACGAGTTGCGGGGCCCTGCCAAGAGGGTGCTCATAGGCAGGCCAGCAGACTGGCTTTCCTATGACGGTGGGGTCCGAAAACTCATAGAGGCTTTGCGAGCCGAACGTGGTCAGCCCAAGGTTCCAGAGATGTCCGAGCTCCTGATGAAGTACTTCAAAGGAACGAGGCGACAACGTGGAGAGACAATGAATGACTATGTGACCCGAAAATGCTGAGGCCTACACACGGGCTCAGCAATCAATGGCCCGATACCAGAAAGAGTTGAACCCGAATGCACCTCCCAACTCAGGCAGTGGCCGTTCAACCTCGGCCCAACACAGTGGGAGCTACCATGTCTCCACCTCAGGGGATGATGACCAATGGGATGACTGGTATGATGCTGAAGAACAAGGTGAGGCTGAGGAAGCTCCGGCTGATCACTCATCGTCCAATGGCCGGGACTCGTCGTCACAGAGTCAAAGCAGTGATCGGTGGGGCTCGTGGTGGAACTACCATGGACGCTGGAATGGCTGGTATGATGACTGGTCGAGGCGTGCAACACACTCTGCCGCTGACACCACGGAATGGTCCAAAGGTTCACTGCCAGAGATCATTCCTGATTTTATTCAGGGGTGGTATCTGTTTGTGGACTCTGGGCTGGATGTCATGGAGCGGAATGTGTTGCAAGCCGAGCTTCGTGGTGACTTCAGTGTCAAAGCAGTGGAGGAGGTCCTGAGGAAGCACTGGGGCGATCATGATCTCAAAAAGCGGGATCAGGAAAAGGGAAAGTACCAGGCCAATGTGGCTGAGGTCTATGGGGATGATGAGGAAAGGGCTCTGCTGGGGGATTGGGATCCTGAGCACCTGGAGTCAGAAGGTTTCTCTGGCGATGAGATCGCCGCCATGGCCAAGGAACAAGAGGTCATGCATGAAGCATGTGCAGCGATCCAAGAAGCAAGGAGAACCTTGAAGGATGCAAGAGCCCGTCAGCATGCTGTTCGGACGTCTCGACAGTTCTACCCTCTACGTCCTCGAGACTCATCGACCTCAGCCAGTGCTAACTTCTCCGGAGTCCCCTAAGTCTCGAAAGTTAGTAATTTTACTCGCCCTGAATTTTACGTAAAATCGACTGTTTTACTAACGTTATTTTACGTAAAATTTTACTAACGTTAGTAAAATTTACAAACGTTAGTAAAATTTTACTAATGTTAGTAAATGATTTTACTAACGTTAGTAAAATTTTGCATGCTTTCAAAAATTGTGAAAATTGCGTTTTTTTTCTAATGTTTTTCTTAGGAATTCTGATATTTTTTGTGATGTGTCTGATTGTGGTTTGCGATGATTTGGTTATGAGTGGGGTGTTTCCAGTGGAGGATTTCAATCGATATGTTGTTGTTACTGTAGAAGAAACTGCACTTATGTGTTGAGGAATGACTTTACATGAGTTTGTATTGGAGACTTTACTTGCGATTTTATATGAGGAGTTCTTGATACTTTCTTGGGACTTTACCTGAGAGTTCTTTTGAGATGTTATGTGAAATCGTGTACATCTATATCTATATCTATATATCTATATAAACATATAAACTGGATTTACATAATAATAGGTGAATCCACAAAAGGAATTTACATTGGATCTTGACTTTAAGAAGTCATTGCAAAGCATTTACATTTGAAAAAGAAAGTCTAGATAAATTTTTGGGTAAATGAGACTAGGTGAAATATCAAAGCAATAATAACCACATCTTATCATTTTTCCCAGGCAAGGAAAGTGAACCAAATTTTATTGGATCAGGTTTGTTTGCTACAAAACTTGATCAACTTACATTTAAAAAAAAAAGTGTCCATGGGGACTGAAGACATGTCTTTTTCAAAGCTAAATTTAAAAGGGAGCTCATAGACTCTTGCGGTGCTTTTTTTCTCATACAATTTGGAGAAGGTCTGGATGAAATCCTGGTAAACCTTTGGCTGGCTTGAAAAGATACATCCAAGAAGTCTTAGTGAGACCCTTACTCCACTTTCAATTCCATATGAATATTTTTTCACATGTGTCCAAAGTTTTTTTCAGAAAAATGCTTGAACACGGTCAAAAATGCAATGCACTTCTGATGCTTTTGGCGCACTTTTGATGCACTTTTGGCGCACTTTTGATGCACTTTTGGTGCACTTTTGATGCACTTTTGATGCACTTTTGATGCACTTTTGATGCACTTTTGATGCACTTTTGATGCACTTTTGGTGCACTTTTGATGCACTTTTGATGCACACTTTCAAAAGTGATGCACTTTTGATGCACTTTTACCGCTTTTTGATGCACTTTTGATGCACTTTTTAAAAGTGCATCAAAAGTGCGTCAAAAGTGCGTCAAAAGTGCGTCAAAAGTGCGCCAAAAGTGCGTCAAAAGTGCGTCAAAAGTGCGTCAAAAGCGCGTCAAGAATTTATGGCATTTTTCTTGGAAAAAATAAAAGATGATAAGGTTCTCTCTCAAAAAGAGATTGCATGCATTGAGTTTGAAGTAAAACTCATTCAGTGCAGTCTCAAGTAAGGTGCAAAGTGCAATGATAGCAACCTCAGTAAAGTTCACTGACAACAGTCTCAAGTAAAGCTCACTGGCAACAGGCCCGAGTAAAGTTCATTGGATGCAGCCTCAAGTAAAGTTTATTGGATGCAGCCTCAAGCAAAGTTCATTGGATGCAGTCTCGAGTAAAGTTCACTGACAGCAGTCTCAAGTAAAGTTCACTGACAACAGGCTCAAGTAAAGTGCACTGACAACAGTCTCAAGTAAAGTTCACTGACAGCAGGCTCAAGTAAAGTTCATCGGATGCAGCCTCAAGTAAAGTTCATTGGATGCAGTCTCAAGTAAAGTTCATTGGATGGAGTCTGAAGTAAAGTTCATTGGATGCAGTCTCAAGTAAAGTTCACTTACAGCAGTCTCAAGTAAAGTTCACTGACAGCAGGCTCAAGTAAAGTTCACTGACAAAAGGCTCAAGTAAAGTGCGGTCACAACAGTCTCAAGTCTAGTTCATTGGATGCGGTCTCAAGTAAAGTGCACTGGCAGCAGGCTCAAGCAATGTTCATTGGATGCAGTCTCAAGTAAAGTTCATTGGATGGAGTCTGAAGTAAAGTTCATTGGATGCAGTCTCAAGTAAAGTTCACTTACAGCAGTCTCAAGTAAAGTTCACTGACAGCAGGCTCAAGTAAAATTTATTGGATGCAGCCTCAAGTAAAGTGCAGTGTCAACATTTTCAAGTAAAATCTTTATGCAGAAAAGTTTCTTGGATCTGTTTTAATGTAAAGCCAACCTCAGCGAACAGCAGCAGCACTTATTTTTTTCACACCCCAATGCAAGCTATCAGGAATTGACCGTCTATCTTTCTTTCAGAATGTTTTCGTTTTGCGGCAAAGGACATATCCTTATGCAGGTTCCACATGCTAATTTCTTCACATTCCTCAACAATATTTGCATATTCATTCTGCTTCTTATATCAAATTCAAGGAAATTCGAAAACCTATCACACATCTTCTGGCACATTTTTGATGCATTTTTGATGCACTTTTGATGCACTTTTCCTTTTTTTAACATTTTACTAATTTTGCAAAAATCAACAAAAATTTTACGTAAAATCTTCTGGATTAGTAAAATTACTAAATTAGTAAAATTACTAGCTTTCGAGACTTAGGGTCAAGCCTATGAAGTGTTTCCGATGTGGCGGTCCCCACAAGATTGCCCAGTGCCCTGAGAAGCCCAGGGATTCAACTCAGTCACGCTCAAGCTTGGTGACTGTCCAGGAAGAGGCGCCGTTTGTGTTCCTCACCGAGAACCTTGATCAGCATGGCTTGGTCATTGATGGCACCAGTGCGTCTCCCAAGCAAGCTGGAGAAGAGGCGTGGCTGACCACCACGGATGTGGTGCGTCAAGGAAAAGCGGTCATTGATGGTGGTGCAACTCAATCGATTGGCTCAGTGCATGCGTTGTCTCAGATTCTGGAACTGAATGAGAAGAAGCGAGGCAAGGATGGTCTCGCAGACCTCGACATGACCGACCGTC